TAATTGTTGTCAATGGGTTTGCAAGTACAATTATTAATTCAAATATGTTCACCAGCAGTTGAATATTGCTACGAATGAGTTATACTTTTTTTGAGCAATAAAGTTTACAACACTTAAAATATAATTGTTGGTATTCAAAAATGAATTCCAGTTTGACAATCAATTTTTACAGAAAAAAATACTATTAGGTATTTTATAATGTTTTATGAGCAAATGTTATGTCTCTCTTGTATAAAATTGATTTGTCTATTTTCCCTTATTGTCATTCATCTCTTCATGGTATTGCTTGATTAATTGTTTGATATAATTAAACACTGCTCATTTTGTTTTTTATTAGTTACTATTATTGATGAACAATATTAATTGCTTTTATTATAGTATTTTAACGTTTGATATTGTATCTAACAAAAATTATTTAGAACATGTTATAATAAACTTTTTAATCAATTAAACATTTGACAATGAGCCAATTGAAAAAAAAAAAAATTATTTATTATATTTGTATTGTAAACATGAATACATCATCATTTTTTAGTGTCAAGTATGTTTGGATGATGTAGAGTAAAGATCTTGAACTTTTTGTTTAAGAATTTTCAATTCCTCTTTAGCAACCAAACTCTCCTGTTTATTTAGATCAGAGACAATGTCCATGCAAGAATCCATGATGTTACCCATTTCATTGGTAACATCTTTCAAATCAAGTCTTGTCGCATTTAAATCGTTCAAATTTGTTTGGACTTTTTGCAGAAGTTGCTGCAAGTTTCTCAGTTCGTACTTTGATTCAGAGAAACATTATCAATGCAAACAGATTCGTTTCTTACCTTTTTGTTTTTTTGTTGAAAAACTTGAAATATTTTCGTTTGCTTTCTTCTTACCTTTATCCACCATTTTAAAAAACGTGAACAAAGCTTGAGCAAATAATTAAACTATAGTAAAAATTTATATAATGATACAGATGTAGTTTTAGTAATCGTTCTATATATATATATATAAGCTTGAAAGTATCATTTTAATGTGTATGAAAACCAAAGAGTTAGAAAACGAACAAACGTATCATAATAAATAAACTGGTCGATTCAAGAATGTGCAAAACTATTTGGAAATTGTGAAAGACAACGGTCATTGATATTATATCAAATTTAAAACCAAATAAATGTTAACAATTTATATTTAAATTGTAATCAATATTTTTATTTATTATAAAAATAATGTTTGTTTCACATCACTAAGTTTTTATTCGAATTTGAATCTAATGTTATTGTAGTGAAAGATGAAAAGAAAATCAGACAACATTTTCATAAGATATTATATTTTTTTACTAATTATTATATTTGATTAGTGGTAATCATGTTTATTTTATTTTATATTTTTCTGTGGCAATTGGATTTCAAGAATTTATAATTTTTCATATGATAAATTATTCAGTGAAAATATTTTTTTTAATAAGAATAATATGCAATTATTATTATACCATGTGTATTCATTAAGTTTAAAATAAAATATGCAATTATTTTTATTCTGTGTTAAAGGAATTATTATTTAATGATAAAAAAACTGGCATTATTATTTTGATGTGCAGCGTCGTTTAGATTGATAAAATTTATATGTTGTTTAAACGTTGTCGTTCAATATGTTTATTACTTTTAAGGACATGTTATTGCTTAAGAGTATTTTTCAGCCTGATTCAAACTCTCTAACCCTAATGTATCTATTTTTGTTTCTATCGCACCAGATTTGTTGTTGTGATTTCAAGCAAATTGATAACATTGAACAGTTTCGTCAAAAATCCTATTAGTTTGCACAACTTTACAACGGTAAAATCTATTTTTTTGTTTATTTGGATATGCATTTACACACAATCTATATAATAGAATATCCAAATCAAAATTAGTGAGGAATTTCCAAATTTAAATGGTTTGTAATCGCTTCGAACTCATGATTGTCAGAAATTTTGTTTATAATTTGTCTTGTTGGTTTGCTGTAGTATTTGTTAATGCAAATTTTTAAGAAGGTACGAATAAATCTTTAGCTTTGCAAATTTTGTCTGACAACATCGCTATGGTTCACCATATAAACATTAACTTGTTATATATGTAATTATAATTGCAAAAATAGTTGTTATATCAATAATAAACCAACATAATTCGCCTGTGCCACGCCATTGTAAACATACTAATGGTCCATTATGGTTCGCCTGTGGAGCCATAAATTATAACATAAATCATTATACTTCAACCACTCATGATGCTCTACATGAATCGCTGTGTGGAGTTCCTATGACATAATGACAAACATATTAACGGTTCATCATGGTTCGCCTGTCAAGCCATAACTTATAATATAAATCATTACATCGCTATGGTTCGACATATAAACATTAACTTATTATATATGTAATTATAATTCAGTCAATTGGATTTTTAATGAAAATAAACAAATAAAAAGAGTCATTACCTTCACAGGGATATATAAGCGGCACCTTTGTTTCTTCCAAAAATCGTATATACCTAAATCAAATTTAAGGAAAAAGTAGTTGTTCTATCAATAATAAACAAACATAATTGGCCTGTGTGACACCACTGTAAACATACTAATGGTCCATTATGGTTCGACTGGCGAACCATAAATTATAACGTAAAGCATTATACTTCGACTGCTCATGATTCGCCTGCCGAACCATAACTTATAATATAAATCATTATAAATGAAAAAAAAATATTAAAAATAAACTGGAACTGGCAAGAACATCACATATAAACATATAAAAATTACAATATTGAATAACTTTACCTTCACCAAGATATATAAGCAGCAATAGCTTTGCTCCTTCCACAAATTGTATACCTTCATGAAATTTCAAGAAAAAGTAACTGGCATGAACATACGTTAAAAAAAATAAACAATAGACTGGCAAGAACATGACATATAAACATATAAAAATGAATAATTATACCTCTGTTTCTTGTTCAGTTTCTTGCTGGTAACAATGTACCAAATTATACAAATAATTACATACATATACTATATATATCCAATCAAAGTATACAACTCTTCACATTCTCATAAATATCTATAACCGTTTATATTAAAGAGCAACATAGAACACATACAATGTAACAAAATAAAAACTTATCAAACCATTCATATTCACAAACCCCCTAAATTCACATAAATGTATTGTGAATAACATACAACGTATAAGACCCCTTATATTCACAAAAATTTATAAACAAACAACAATCAATAACGTTTTGTGTATAAGGTTATGTAAATGTAAATGAAAATATTTATTGTCAATGTGAAACAAACAACAATCAATAAGGTTATTAAAATCTATCATTAATAACAAACACCAATTACATAAAGCCACATATACCATAAAATACAATCCATCAATTTATGCCACATCATCACTAATAAAATCCAACCAAATGTAAACAGTCCACATCATCACCAATTAAGGGTGTGTTTGTCTGAGCTTATGAAAATTAGTTTATAAGCAACAAGTGATTTTAGCTTATAAGAATTTGAAATTTTAAACAATTACGTGTTTGGTTAAAGTACTTATAAGTGACTGATAAGTAGTTAACGTGTTTGGTAAAATGTGGCTTATAAGTACATTTTATTATAAAATGACTAAAAAGTGTATTACATTAAATAAGGGTATACTATGAAATTTTAAAATTAAACAAGGATAATGTGGTAATATACTTTGTCAAACTAGCTTATAAGTATAGTGCTTTTAAGCAAAAAAAAAAAAAAAAAAGTATCTTTCTCCCAACTTATTATTATTATTATTATTTTGGCTTATAAGCTCAACTTATAAGCTCAAAAAAGTTATAAACAAACATATCAACTTAATTTTAGAGATTATAAGCTAGTTTGACCAGCTTATAAGCTAGTTTGACCAGCTTATAAGCTTAGACAAACACCCCCTAAATCCAGCTATGTACCGAGCAATCTGAAGACGTGTCAAAATGAAGGAATTCTAGCCTCTCAAAATGGCAATCATATAGTCTATGCCTCATGATTATGAATATATATATATTGGGTGTTTGCTTCACTTTCAATTACTTTCTCATATACTCTGTAAATAAATCAGTCATCTTATATCAAAAGAAAGTGTAAAATATCATTAATATTTATATATATATAGACTTTTTTTTTTGTTGGATAATTGGGGTGTTCGGGTCGTTTGCATATATTTCAACTAATCCTTAAAGCTTATTGAACATCCTATAAATCTAATGTTTAAGATAAATAACAAACGTAGTAAGTGGTCCTAAGGTGGTTTAATCTTTGAACCTAAAAAGTTAATGAAATGAGTAAAACTTCTTAACCACCAAGCTAACCTTTTGAGATTTATATAAACTCCCTTCGTTATTCGGTATTGTATTTTTTTTTTTCTTGATGTATTATTACGTGGATGGTATAAATTTTATCTCCATTGGAAGGCTTTTCAAAAGAAAATAAGGATTAATTACTGACATTTATTATTATAATTTTACAAAGATTAATTATCAAAAATTTATCTTTAAATAAGATTATTTTATCATTGCCTTTCTGACATTTTCATTAAACTCAACTCAACAATAATGCCGCCTCCATTCAAGGATCTTTAATTCTTATATATTAGACTCTTTAGGGACCCAAATAATAATTGTATTAGTTAATAATATCTTGCAAAGAATGTCATTTTATAGTGGTGGTTGAGGTTCTAAATTATTGTAACTGTGAAATAAATGTGATAATAATTAATGCATAAGGCAATTTGTTTTAGTGGAAATATCACAAATTATCTTTATAATTTCGAAAATTATTCGATAAATATTAGTGAGTTTATTGATAATAATTTTCAAGATTGTACAGTTAGTTTGTATACTAATTTTATTTAAATTTAAGAAAAAAATTCCCAAAAAAAAAGTGCTGACGTGTTCGGTCGGAACGCTTTAACGGTTTTAACAGTTTCATTTGTGAACCCGAACAAAACAAACAGACGAGATTTTGTCTTCTCAGCTCTCGACTCTCGAACAAGAACAAATTAGCAAAGAAAATGGGTTCGCTTCCGTACGCTGACGTGGAGAACAGTCTGAGAGCATTGGCGGGTCGGGCCGAGGGTTTTGGCAGATTCGCCATTGGCGGGCTCCACGGCCCGCTCTACTTCGTCACCAGTTTATCTGGTTCTCCTTTCTCTCTCTAATTCTCAATACCTTAATTTTGCAGAATTATTTTGTTTTTTAGATGGAATTGTTAGGATTCGAATTACGATTTTCATTATTGAATTATGAATTGTCTCATTATGATTTTTTATCTGGATTTTTATTTTTCTTTTCTTGAAAGATTGGTGCCAAAAGTTTATTAATTTTTAAGATACTTTTAAACATAATCTGTATTAAACAGTTTAAAAATATTATGCGGATTTGTTAAATGGGCTGAATTCAGAATTTTTTTGATGCTATATTGCAACATAATTTGATGGAATCTGTATATGATACCTCACTTTAGGTCAATATTTACTTTTTGATACTTGGAAGAGAGTGTTTTTCAACTTTTTCATTGCTTCTATCAAGTTCTTTGTAGTTAAGAATTTGATTATGAGATTTTATGTGTCTGTTATAGATGATGGTCCAGGATCGCTTCGTGAGGGATGCCGGAGAAAAGAACCATTGTGGATTGTTTTTGAAGTTTCGGGTACAATTCATCTTTTGTCGTACTTGAATGTATCGTCTTATAAGACGATTGATGGGCGGGGCCAAAGGGTTAAGCTTTCAGGGAAAGGGTTGAGATTGAAGGAATGTGAACATATAATTGTATGTAATCTTGAGTTTGAAGGTGGTAGAGGACATGATGTTGATGGCATTCAAATAAAGCCGAAATCTAGACACATATGGATAGATCGATGTAGCCTTAGTGATTTTGATGATGGGCTCATAGATATCACGAGACAAAGCACAGACATTACAGTTTCTAGGTGGGTTCTTGCTCATTGGATGATAAGACCTAAAATGTTGTGATTAATGCTGGTTTCTGATCTACTTGTTTTAATTTTGGTGCACCAGATGTTATTTTACTCGTCATGATAAGACAATGCTTATTGGAGCAGACCCCTCTCATGTTGAAGATAGATGCATTCGAGTGACCATTCACCATTGTTTTTTTGATGGGACAAGGCAAAGACATCCTCGCCTTAGATTTGGGAAGGTTCATCTGTACAATAATTACACCAGAAATTGGGGCATTTATGCAGTTTGTGCAAGTGTAGAGTCCCAGGTAAATGATGGTTCATTTTTCAGTTTAAGCATCTTTTAGTTAACCATGTGGAATGCTATTATCCTCTTAACTTTATCTTGATTATATTGTAGTTATTACATTTTATGTCATTTTTGTTTTTATCAGATATACTCCCAGTGCAACATATATGAAGCAGGAAAGAAGAAAAAGACCTTTGAATACTATACAGAGAAGGTAAAAGTGGCAATCTATTTATTGTTGAAGTTCCATTAGCTAACGTATAGAGTAATAAGATACCTTCAGTCAGCTTGGAAAAGAGTTTTTTTAACATAATATTTCTTAATAGTTTGTGAGTAATGACCAGAACGAATTAATCTGACTTATTAGACCATGTTGTCCTTTACCAGTTAAAGCATAATCCATAAAACAAAGTTAAGTTAATGTTGTTCCAATTGAACATATATTATGACCATCACATCTGATCTACCATATGCCCATAAAAGTTCAGGTAAATTAACTGTCTAAATGTGTGCGATTAATAAGCATGGCTCTTAATTGCACAATGACTCCTTGTTTTAATGGAAGATAAATTTATTTTGTCTTATGGAACACTTACTGATGCATTTTAGGAGCAGATGGTCTGGTAAGTTGGATTTATATGTGCTAACTGTAATACCAATAATATCATCCGCAGTATGTATCTAAAAGCAAGCCACAAGTTCTTTCTATGGGTATGCTGCATGAGTTAGCTGCTTGTTCTCAGTTGGAACCTTGCTGTCAAATTGGGATATGGTAAAAAAGCTAAAGTGTGTCAATATCGATCAAGTGTGGTTACCTTTCAAACTGGAATGTTTTTATTTTAGAAATCTTTAACCATAGCCCACCAAACTATTTGAGAGTGGAATCTAACAGGTTGTCAGTAAGCCACTTGCCATCCATAAGAAAATCTATTTAGTCTGTTGTATGCACTCTGTCAACCTTACAGACATTGTAATTGCATGAACTAGGAGAATCAATGCCTTAGGTCTACTCTCCATATACAAAAGGCTTGGTGGCTTTTCTTTCAATTAGGTAACAATCAAAGAGCTCTCTTTTAGTTCTCTACTGCTTTGATAGTTGGGCTTGAAATAATTTGACATTTTGGTGAATAAATGAGGGAAACCTTTAACTTTTCTTCTGAATGGGAAGCGCCAGTTGCCAGGAATAGTAATCTATGAGGGATGCATTCTCAGAGTATGAAAAACTTCAGATACGTTACCATACTTACACACGGGATGCACCATCACTTGCAAGGGGTCTTATTCTTGCTGTGGTCTTTGCATGCTGAATGTGTCGAGTTATTCTCTGGTTCCATCATTCTTTACCAATTATGTGTCAGAAAGAAATCAGTACTGTCTTCTGCATATCAGTATAATCATGACTTCTGGTATATACTAAAATATGTGGTTGAACCCTTTTATTAGTACTCCTTATGGGTAAATTAGAATCATGTTACATTATAATTAACTATAGTTTGTACCTCTTTTTAAAGTTCCTTCCTTTAACAATATGAGCTGTTTGTATTGCATTGTATCTCCTGTTGAAAGAACAGTTTTATCTGCTGGCACTTGTTTAACATGCTGCTATTGGATGTATTTGTAGGCAGCAGACAAGCCGGAAGCAAAGTCTGGTGTAATAAGATCTGAAGGAGACTTGTTTCTGAATGGAGCACTAGCTTGCTTATTGACCGGAGTGGGGGATGAACATGTGTTCCACCCAAGTGAATATTATCCGATGTGGACAATGGAAGCACCCTCAGATTCTTTAAAGGAAGTCCTCAAAATTTGTACGGGTTGGCAATCCATTGCTCGACCAGCAGACCTGATGGTAGCTACATAGCTTTTCAATGTCTTCTTTGTGCATGCATCTTGAATGTATGGTGCCATTTACGAGCATACCTTCTTGTTTTAATTTTCCTTTGGGAATTTTCTTTTCATTCGATTATGGAAAGTTTTAATCACAAAAATCCATTATCCAGAATATAATCAATTTAGTGTATGTAACTATGTATTAAATATTGTTTCAAAACTGGTCAGTTTACTTGAGACTATTGGCATACTTTGGGGTTGACTCCTTTGATGGGTGTATTAACAAATTTGTTGATTTCTAACTAATCCTTACCGGAAATTATACATGGTTAATGTATAGTACTAATAACTCTTGGAAAGATAGAGAGAGGAAAGTGAAACCTTGTATGCTTTTTCACTTTCAATCATTCTGAACCAAAGTTTGCTAAAGTTCAGTTTGATTGTAACATCAGTTTTAAGACTAGAATATAAAAATATGCAGCCATGAAGAAACAGAAGTGTAAGAGTGTAAAGTATTTTATTTCTGCACAATTATTTTCTAGTACATATTTTTAATCTGATGAAAAAACTGAAAGCACCATTAGAGAAGGAACAGCATAAATTATAACAGTAGTTATGTTGGGCATTGAGACGTTGCCTTTTCTAATCATGTACATGTTTGTATCTTTAATGGAGTATGCATCTTGGCGATGAGCTGCATGATGAAGATGATGAAGAACTAACTAAGATGGGAGTACCATGAAACAGATCTGATAAATAATTTCCCAAATCATCAGGTCCAAATCTCACCAACACTTCCAGATGTCTTTCCCCATATAACATCATCACATGTGCATCAAAGAATTCTCTGTATGCTGGTACAAGTTTCTTTGCTATCGAAACCTTTAATTCATCTCTTAACTTCCCATCTGGTACAATCCATGATGTCTGTTTCATATATGCTTCTTCAAAAGCTGCATTGAACCTCCTAAAACATTCCTTTGCCTCTTCAGGCGACATTGCTGAGGAACTTTTTTCTGGCAAAGATGAGAAGACCTTGGTCCACGCCACAGTTTCATAGTTTAAAGCATACTGTTTAAGCTTCTTGGTGTGCATACTCATCCAATCATCACCTAGAAGGTTCTTCAGGTTAGATGTCCGAACTTTTTCAATGATGAAGTTAAGATTGTTGGCTAGGAAGAGATATGACAAAGCCACATCTTTTCGGTGTGGTTCAGCTTTGCTGTCAAGCTTGCATAAAAGAACAAGTATGAGCCAGGCTAGGTGAACTGACGCTGGAGATGCTGAATCGTGGTTGGAGGTCAAACTCCCAATGCAAGATTCTGTAGTTGTTGAATTTCCGGGAGGATATTCAGCAACAATATCAGAAAGAACTCCACTGTAATCTCCCAGTGAACATATGAAACTCATCGCTGATTGAGTGAGTGGGTGAATTCCACCACCAATAGGTGGAGTTTTCGACGAGTCTTTCTGAATTCTTGACTCAAAGTCTGATAAAATAGTTCGAATTGAGTCACCAAGCTTCTGTTGTGATGAAAGAGCTTGCAATTTTATAGCTGAGGTGGAATCAGAGTTGAATATTGATTCTATTTCCGGCCAGAGATCAGTGAGTGCTTCATGAAGTTCCATTTGCCGGAAAATTCTTTCTTGTGATTTCTTGCTCTTTGCAATGATTTCTGGAAATCTGAACAGATTGATAGCTCCTTCTTCTGTTATATGACAGAAGCAAGACTCTCTGATTGAATCAGACGCTGAAAACACGTGATCGCAGAGAGCTTTTTCTCCACTGAAGAGTGTTTTCACTGCAATCTTCACTGCAGTCAGCCAGTTCTTCATCATATGTTCAAGCGCCTCCCAATTCAATTTCTGAATTCGAGAAGCCTTGAACTGTTCGATTCCAAGTTGATACAGTCCTTCATCGACTATCGATTTCCTGATCAGTTTGTATATCTTTATACACTCCTTGCCATAACCTGAACTGATCATACAATCAGCTATTGCCTTCAGGTCAAACATTGCAAGCTGAGAGACAGTCTCCACCTCAGTTATTGTCTCGCGAGCTCTTTTCAACTCATCCTCATCTTCAGATGCTTCCTCCTCATCATCAAAATTTCTCGACTCATCAGAGGATTGACCTGAAACTGATTCGGGATCAAGTTGATCACGTTGTTTGGACAATATCAGATAAAACTCATGTTCCAGCCTTTTCATGGCAATTTGCATGAGAGTCTGAGCAAGAACAAGCTTATCAGAAGGCGAAATTTCAGAAACCAAAAAGTGCATGGCTTGACGCAAGTCTTTGACAGTTTTCAAGAGCTCTTTAGCCTCTTTTCTGTTATGACTAAAAACTGAGATAGCTTTGGTGTATGAGGAAGAGTTTAGATTCCATCTGGTGATGATTGGTTCTGCATTTTCTATTTTCTCTTCCATCATTGATTTAGAGAATTTGTGTATAGGGGAAGGTGGCATATGAGTATCAGAACTCGTAAATGAAGAAACAGAAGAAAGGGTCTTAGAAGATGAGAAGAAGAGAGTCGACATTAAGTTTCCAGGCATTATGTTTTAAGTTATTTTCTGAGAACGAGTTTTGCAGGATATATATAGACGCCAGAGAGCCGCAATGTTCTCAATTGAGGGAGGTGGATTTACTTATTTTCTTATTTTAATTTTTAGGCCAAAAATCGGGGAGTTTTACTTGAGTTGGTAGAGCAAGAATCAT